TACTTAGTTTGCTTAATTGTTATTATTGTAGGCTTTGAGTCAGAACCGACCCACAGATCCATTGACTCATAGTGACAAAAAAGACCAAAGTAGAGTTGCTATATAGTGTTTCCAAAACTATAATCTTTATGGGAGCAGATCGTTACATCTTTCTTTCTCTTGCTAAGAAGTTGGTAAATCTGAACCCACCGACCTTTTGGTTAGCATCCAAGTACTCAACTACTACCACTGGGGCTTCATTAATATTAATTAGCAGTTGGTCCCTTATTTTCACAAGAATCTTATAGTGCCATTTCTGTTTTATAAATTGGGAAACTGAAGCTCAAACAAATTAAGTGCTTTGACCAAAGTTTTACACTGAGAAGTGAGAACTTGGAAAATATCTTCAAATGGTTATTTTTTTAAATGTAAAAAAAGTGTATTACACTTAGAGGTAAGTAAGGTTACCTCTAAGGTATAGTTGTTACTGCTTAAAAGAACAGCTCCAATTTAGTGCTGTAAAAACACCATCAATTATTCATATTGCTCATGAGTCTACATTTTGGCCAGGAGTTAGTTCCTGAATAGAGAAAGATCACGGAGAGCTGGTGGAACTGCTCTGCAGACCAACTCCACAAACCATGAGACATAGAAGAGTAGCAGGCCCTGAAGTGGACATCTTTGTAGATTTCATTATTGGAGTGCTCAGCTTTCTCTTTCTTCTGCTGTCAAACTTCTTAAATGAGACTACTCCACAGTTTTTCTATCCCCTCCCTTCTTCAGATTTAGTCCCTAACCAAACAACCTGGCTATTCCCACCCTTGCTTCTTTGCCCAGGGTCTTTCATTAAATGCTTGTTCCACACCAGGCTCTACTCACATCCCAAGTATTGAGGCCTCTATGTTTGCTTTGGAGTTGTAAATGCACTTCTGGTCTCTTCATCTAATTGTGACTCAATCTCTTTGAAGGCACTACAGTATGTGAGGTATCCTTGCATAAAGGCCATCCTTTCTTGTTCTTTTATTCACACTGGGCTTTTGCTTTCTCTGTCCATTCAACCTAAGTCTATCTTGTCTGTCCTTGGTTCTAGAATCTTCTCTCAGTTGCAGATTTCAGTGGCTTCTTCTTATGTGATGGGTCTTGATCATGAGAACTGACTGGAAATGAAAATATTACTCAGGGAATTCCTATAGAGAGGGTTTCAAAGAAATACGATGATTTGGTCAAAGAAGAAATCATTAACTCTCTAACCTAAACAAATACTTATCTTTTTCTGTCTTAATAATGGTAAATATATAACATAAAATTAGTTATTTTAACCTTTCATAAGTATATCATTTGTGGCACTAATTGTATTGATTTGGAAGCAGGTGTGGGATATACACTTCCTAAATAATATGCCTCCAGAAACTCTATGAACTTCGATAAATGTTCATAGTTATAGAAAAGCTTCAGGCCTTTTGTTCATAGAGTCACTATGAGTCATGCTTGACTCAAAGGCAATCAACAACCACCACAAAAACAATTGTATTCATATTGCATAACAATATAGATTGAAGCTCAACATCAAGAAAACAAAGATTCTGCTTTTAGGTGGTCACTCTGGACTTCTTTGAGGGTTGAGTTCATGTTGCTGATACTTGGATATTTCAGAAATGGACTACATGGAAGGAGTCTGGCTTGAATGTTTTTGGTTCAGTAGTGAATTCAAATTGCTAGTGTACTTCAGGGCTGCTCTTTGGAAGACATTCTTTCTCAAGTAAAGCTATATTTTTGGAAGAATTTTTTTGGATAGCGAACTAGTTAGACTGGAAAACCATTTACTACTGCAGGAACACTAGAAAAGCCAGCTACAGATGATAACCCTAGAATCCTGAAATTAGGGAACTTTTGAGCACGAAATTAGACAAAGATTGAAGGAGGAACCTGGAATAAAGCAATCATTGAAGAGACGAGTTGAAACACTCCATCAGGTCTAAACACCTTTCCCTCCCTGGTAAGGTTCAACAGCAACTGACCAAATTAAAGAGACAGCCAACATGGGGATCAGATCACCCTCTGACAACCATCAGAAGACCTCATCTGACCAGAGAAGACCTCATTTGCAATAACCTAGGAGCTTTCTGAGTCACCCAGTACCTACACACCCTTATATACTAAGAAGAGTCTAACATAATGGCAAAGAAGGAGCAGTCAGGTTCAAACACGGAAAAAAAAATCTGAATGAAGCAGACTGCCAGTTCACCAACCTGGTGATTATCCCAGTCAGGAGCCAGAAGTTATATGCCAGTGTGGATTTGTTCCAACAATTTATAATTTGGAAATTAAAAAAAGCTGAAGGAAATTTTTGAAACCACAAGTAAAACATAATAAGCAAAAATGTTACTACTGTATGGAAAGGGTACAAGCAGCACTTACCAAGAAGAGCCTCCCACAATGCCAAGGGAGCTGCAGTCAACTTCAAACATTATGAAAGGACAAAACAAGCCTCATATAGAAAAGCAGACCAGATTGCCCATCCAGTGAATCTCTGAGACAGGAAGCCAAAAGAAATATACAGATATGGAGCTCCTATTTTGGACAATGAGGAAATTACAATTATTCAAAGACCTGTAATAAAGAGCTGCCAGGATTAATGAAAATATCACAAGAAGGGGAGGTTACAGCCATCACAATACTAAAGCCATAGAGAAACATGAAAACCCAGTGCTTAGCTAGCACTTGCCTTAAACCACTCAGTGTTTCCTTGTTCTGTTTGGAAAACTTGTTTTAGGTATTGTTGTTGTTGTTGTTATGTGCCGTCGAATCATTTGAGACTCATAGCGACCCTGTGCACAACAGCCCTAAACCCTACTCTATCCTGCGCCAACCGCACTGCCTCTGACACACCCATCCCGATTACCCCAGTCACCGAATCAATCCATCTCATAGAGGGTCTT